ATATCTGCAGCTCATCCAGAGCTACCATGAGCCCCCATGACCTTTCCCTTTAAGCTCTCCTTACCTGGCATTAGTTGACAACCATGTGTTTGTGCGTTTATTGTGTTCCTATGACGATTTTTGTTTACTAACAGCATCATTAACATTTCACTTACATGTATTGAATAACCAGGAGACAAGGCAATTGACTTTGATAGAAATTCTAATCTTACTCAGATAAGAGAAATTGCTTAGGGTTAAAGAATGGCAGCTGCTGACCTCCTGGCTCATCGCTCAGGAAGTGGCCCCGATTAACAGTAAAAAAGACATTTTATACATCTCCAGTCTGCGACATCATCACATCATTACATCATAAATGTTAGCATATGATTAGACATTCATGGCTCCAGCCTTATCAAAATATTACATTTTGTTCTTAGCTGAAGGACATCACTCTCATTCCATTTCCAAATCTTTGCCACGTACAAAATGAAGATTATAACAGTTTTTTTGTCCTAATTAGATAAAAATGTCAGTTCTGACGCACAACAGGCAGCCCATACCAGGGTGTGATAAACTCACACATCTTCAATGATAATTATCCTAACACTCTTTTTAAAGAAAACTCTGTAACAGAAGAGCAAGATTTATAAACATATAAAATGAACTATTAGTTGTCAGATATTTATTCAGTGGTGTTAGAGTAAATAACTCTATACCAACCTCTAGATACCAATAGATCTATGTTTCCTCTTTCTTTCAGTTTACTAGTATGGTTTGCTTTTTTAGTCTATAAAACATAATCCCCCAAGAGTACAGTTTGAACAGTATAGTTTTAACTTTACAAATTGTGAAAAAAGTTCAAGGAGGAATGAAGACTTTGGCAAAGGTCTTTATCTTTTAAAGGAAACATATAAAGAAAAAAAAAAGACCATATCAATGTGTTGATTACCCCATAAAGGCTATAATCTCTCTCATTTGGGTGCAAAAGACGCTTCTATATGTTTGTGCTTGTTTGTGTTTCTGACTCTAAACTGGGTTTTGATAAACGCTGCTTTTCTAGGCACCATCTGCCGAACCAACTGTTGTGTGCTCATAAGCAAGCTCATGGAGTTTTTGTCCTTGATTACATAAAATCGAGCACAGTTTTATAAAATATAATTACAACTCTGTCCTAAAAGATGTTTGCTAAAACTATTATTATCAATGTTAGTTGGTCTCTTGGTCTCTGTAAAAAGAAAATAATAACATGGTGTAATATTGAAATAGTCTTTATGGAAATTTAGATGAAATAGTAGGAAGTGTTGTTCTGTGCTAGCATTGTCATGCGAATGAAAAGGCCAGCTGTGGCTCCTAGGGCCTTTCTTGTATTACAGTTACCCTCTTCTAGGTTGAGCATACAAGTGTCTTTAAATATTTCTGTGTATCACGTTACACACCCACAGCAGATGAGCTGCTTTCATCCTGAGCGGATCTTATTTGGTGCTTCAGGGCAGTTAGTTTGAGTTGGTCGCTCTAACAGATACTTGTTTCTGCCAGGACTGTAGCTCAAGGCTAAAACCTGCCTTATAGAAGGTATTCATTAACGTAATAGTTGGTGAACAACTTTTTTCTTTGTTTTTTTAACCTTCAACATTTACTATGGGTTGTTTTGCACTGCACTGCGTCTGTTCATGTGTAGAGTATTTAACAATAAATATAAAGAGTATGGTTTTGTTTGTCAGGAGTTGTCTAGAAAGAGTGTGGTCCTGTCAGTGTATAAAAAGGCTTCGTAAATAAACTTTATTCCTCACTGTGGCTATGTAGCTTTTGACGTTCATGTCTATCATTAATAGTGACATGGTTCAACAGTGACTAAAAACATTTTTTTTGCCATACAGGTTTAAAATTATTTGTATTCCCGGCAAAGATTTGCAAAAACATGATTTACAATAAATTAAGCTTTTGTGGCAGTTTACATAATATCCTCATGTAAAATGAACCTTTTATACAAGCGTCATGCATGTTTCCAGGACATTTTTTTAAATGAACTTGATCCATGACAAATTAAGGCTAAATGGTTAAAGTGAATGGTTTAAGATATACTTTAAGATATATTTTTGAACAACTCCATGAGATTTGCAACAAAAGATTTCAGTGTGAGACTATTTTACAGCAACAAAATATATTTTAAGATTTTCCAGGTATATATATATATATATATATATATATATATATATATATTTAATTTACATGTGAAAACATGTAAATCACCACATAAAAAAAC